CAATTTATTAAATAGATCTATATGTGTTTTTTATTTGCCCAACCTAATCACAACCCCTGAAACCTGATCCTGTGCTTCTTCACTTCTTGGTCTGAATCTGAATAAATGGGAAGTATTTAACAAATATTAAGATGAAATAAATAAGATTATAATGATATTTATATCTTATGAATTTTAGTTATAATTTGAATTATAAAAGATATTTATTAATTTTTAAGTCAAAGATAGTTAGAATACCTTTAACTTATCACAAGTCTTGAGCACATAAAACCATTCCTTAAAGAAATTCTATTATTCATTTTTATGTGTAATAAGGATGAATAAAAGAAGTATATGAGTGTATTGTGTGTATACACATGCACATACTCACACACTCTTTAAAAACTCTATTTAGTAATTCTAAGAATCAGCTTTACTATTTATGGCAGAAACAGATAAGCTTTTATTTGCTATGTTGACCTCTTCACCAGTTTGATTTTGTACATTTGAACTTTTCAAACCATTGCCTGAATTTGGGATTCATTTTCTTTGACAGGTAGGGAACCAATAATATCATCCTAATACAATTTAAAATGGTACAGACTCATTTACTATTTAATTCCTTTACCAAATATTTTTTGTGTGGCTACTCTTTATCAATTCCATTAATGCATTTCCAGATACAAATTATTTAAGTTGACAAAATTCAGAGTTTTTCCTGGACATCCCATGATACCAAATAGTGGCTTCCCCCACTCTCTCAGCAGCTACCTCCTGTTCCCATACATAAATGGCAGCCAGCAATGGCTAGAAACAAAGGACTTTCTCCCAGTCCCTGAATACAGTGACATTCATTCTGAGAGAAGCAGGGGCAGCTTTTTGAAAGCCGACTTCTTCAGCTGGACAATAACACACAATGAGTTATTGACTTGTTTATATACGGAGCTCTTTTCAGTAACTAACTCTGACTCCCACAGTCTGGACAAATGATTGATTTCGTGGTTAGAAAAAGAGAAAGCTCTTGCGCTAAACTCTGTAGTGCAAACTACTTCTTCCCCATTTGTTCCATAACTGAATAGGACCTTATTAAAATGCACTTTCCAAAAAAATACCTGCAGCTGGCCTTTATAACCATGTTTTGTATATATAAATAAGTAATTTGTCCCAGTCTTTTGTACATTAACAGACCATTGGGAACCTTGTCAATATATATGAAGGCTGATTATCCTGTGGTTTATGCTAATCTGTATTACCTATATTGATCTGCATATAAAATATGAATCAAATATTTATTACTAGATCAGTATTTACTGGTGAAAACCTTAGAATTTTGATATAGATTTAGTTTTCTTGTTGGATCTGTTGATTTATTAAGGATATTATATACAATGCATGTGTACTTCACATTTGAATCGTTAGCTGTTCTTCTGAATACAGAGAAGACTACATGCAGAACCACACATTAGAGCAATGAAAGTTTGGTTGGACAAATAGGCTTTTCCCCCTTTGGCTAGTACCTTTCTGTAATGTCAATATCAATTAGGAGACAGAACAAACTAGCTTGTTTGAATTATTGTACCTTTTCTAAAGATATTAATGATTGAACTCTAGATGGACTACAGTACTTTAGTTATTTTCTTCTGTGAAACTGATTTTATTTTATCTTAATATCATGTTAAAATTTTTGCACAGTCTGTATGATTTTTATAAGTAGACTTTAAAATATTTTGGGGGGAGTTAAAAAGAAAATCCATCAATAGTTTGTGACCCACATAAGAGGTGATCACTGCTGTTCTGGCTGTATTTCTCCAGCAGGAGGTTTTGAACCTGTTTTCCTCACTAGGATGTCCATAGGAGAGCTTCCTGAGCCAGCAAATCTTTGAAGAATTCCTCAAAATTAAGAGTACTTTCAATTGTAGTCACAAATAGCTGCATGTTTTATATAGAACTTTGTATTTCTAATCTATGACCCTTTAGGGTTTTAGAGAAGGTACAATGTCTGCAACTTTAGCATTAATAGTTTTAAGTAAAATAGACATAGTCTTAAAGGTAATGCCCAGTAGAAATCATTTCATCGAAATCTGTCACTTTGGGTATCATTTTGTGTATTTTTTTACTTAATTCCTAAAGAAACTATTTGAGATGAACTTACTCCTTTTTATCTTATGTTTGTGTAACCAGACCATTTTTTTTAAACACTTTTATTCAGTTTTCTTTGACAGAGCCATTTTGTTTCTGATTCCTTCTGTTTCTTCTTGACTAGTCTCTTGATCTATTCTAGTTCCCATTGATATTAAATGAGACCAACCCTAACCTAAATATGGATGACTAATAATTGTTATGTGTTTTTAAATCTTAGCAGCAGGCCTGACAAAAATGATGAATTAAACCTTTCTATTTGACCATTTTTTATGTGAACAATGAATATTGGTTTTATTTCTCGTGTTTAAAAGGAATAAGACATATTTAGAACAAAGTTCTCCCTCCCCCATTTGGTGGGGACTTGGTTTTCCACAATTACATACAAATTTTAGCCATCTTTCTGTTTATTTTTGGTTTTTAATTTTTAAATTTTCTACTCTTGTTAATATATGAAAAATCAGCCTCAGAAATCTCAAACTCATTGACAAAAAATTTATTTCCTATATTTTAGATAAGAACAGCAAATCAAAAGCATTTACTTTTGTCTTAATGAAGAAACAGGATGTTCTCATCAAAAGTGACAAGAGAGAAGAGTTTTACTATTGTTATCATGTCATGAGGTTTGAAGGAAAGATGCTATTAGAACTACGTATTATTAGTATATCAGGGTGAAAATACACTCTCCTAATTTGACTTTTTACTTTCAATAATTTTCTCTAAATGATTACATTAAAAGATACCTTTTGGAATGATATCTATTTCCAGATAGATATATATATTCATTTCCAGGTGAATATATATATTCCAATAGATATTTATTTCCAGAAAAGGCTCCATGTGTGTGTCCTTATATTTTGTTGACCATTTATTTCTTGATATCTTATGCACTTCTTATTTGGGATGGGATGCTTTTCAGTAATGTTGGTATGTTTTAGTATATAGTGCTTTAGAAGTTGAATATTTGAATGGAGGTGATTTCTTCCAACTGTGGTGGTTTCAAAGGTAAAGAATTCCCACCTTTTAAAGAGTTACTTGGAAGCAGTTCTAAATGTCATGGCCCTGGGAAACCTCATTAGAATCTGACTTATCTGCTGTGGCACCAAAGAGTTCCATGGCTCTGTTTTTGTTTTGTTTTGCTTCGTTTTTTTTTTGTTTTTTTTTTTTAATCCGCTCTTAAAGTTTTTGCATTTGGAAATGAATTTTGTAAAGAATAGATGAGCTTGGTGAATGTTCTCCAGTCACTCTCTTCTACACCCATTTCTCTTGAAATGAGAACTCCCCTGATAACAAAATCAACAGACCAGCATGTTATGCCATGGTTCAGTCTTTCATGTGTGGAAGTTGAGCTTGATATTTAAGCTTTTATAGTTTTATATTTTTATATCATTTTATCACAGAAACAAATATTCCTTGGGGAGAGTTATCCTGAGAATAGTTTCACATGCTGATTTCTTAAAAACTCTTTATCAGTGGTTATCATCTAAGGCAGAATTGGTAAGGCAATGCTCACTAGCCAAATTCATTCTGCCACCTGTTATTGTTTTTTAAAGGTTTTATTGAAGCATAGCCATGCTCATTCATTTATGCATTGTCTGTTTCACACCACAATGGCAGAGTTGAGTAATTGCAACAGAGATTTTATATTTTACTTCCCACTCCCACCTCAAGCCTAAAATATTTACTATCTGGCCCTTTATGGAAGTGCTTGTCAACTCCTTCCTTAACTAATCTGATCATTACAATCACCAAAAGATTCCTGTGCCTCTCTCTCCCTTCTACCAAAACAGAATCTTTGATATATAGAATTGTATCATCATTTATCATTAGATGAAGTGTTCATAGATTTGATACTGTTCTTCTAGCATTTATGTACAGGTAGATTGAAGAGACCATATTGTTGGACATCCCATTCCTCATTTTATCCCAAATATAGGAGTAGGGCTTCAGGTAGGGTATGGATTAAAGAGTCATGTTAATTCAAACATAATTTTCCAGGCATACAATTGAGAAAACCTATTTAAAACAACATTAACAAAATAAAATTTAAAAATATGGCCAATATTTATTTTTTCTCTAATCCTTAATAAGGAGATATGGCATGGCAAGTCCATTGCTTAAGAATTGTTAAATATTTCATTTTGGAGGATTCTCCATTAGGCTCTGTTCTCTTTCTTTCTATTAATATCAATCTTTTTAGTGAATATTATTGTGTGAGTTTAGTGTTTTTCTTTTGTTGAAAGTAGCATTTTATTTCTATAGGGATTATTTATAAAGAAATTTGGAATGGGCCACATTCACTTTTTTATAATACATGGGTTAGCAGCAGTAGTAGAAAACCTTTTCTGGCTTTGTAAATGAAGCAGTTTAGAGGTAACTTTTTAGGTTTTTAGATACATGATCCTTTGTCATGAAATGTTATAAATCCTTTAGCACCATGCTAGAGTGTTTGAATTGACACTTTTGGTTTATGTCCTTGACTTCTTATTTCTGACATAACAGCAGCCAATTTATTCCCTACTTATAATGAAAGATTTTAATAGAAAATATTAGCATGATTTAAATAAGTGTTGCTAGGTTCATTTTAATAAAATCCTTTGAAAAATTAGTCATCAGCATCTAATATCTACAATTAAGGACACTCCTGCCCCAAGTTATATTTATTAATCCTAAAAACAATAAAAAGGAAAGTGAAAAATTCAGTGTGTTAAATGTTTTAAATATATAAATGAATTTTTAACTTATTTAACTTAGAGTCATTTCCATGTAAGTATCAGCAAAATTAATATCAAATCACCTTCATGATTATGGTAAATTAGTTGTTTGAATAAGTGTTGCTATTAGATACCTGCTTTCACGTCATTTATTATTATTTTTTCTAGTTGAACTTGGCTGTGAATGAACAGAAGGAGAAAATTACAGAAAAAGTTATTCTTTCAATGACAGCAAAGGAGAACCATAAGGCACAAGAAGAAGTAAGGAAATTACTTTGTATTATAAACTACAGTGAACATTAATTTTAAAACTCAGTTAACTTTTACTTTAAGTCTTATAGTAGTAAATTAACTCTTATTAACTGAAAACAACTTATGATAGAAAAAATCTGATCAAAAATCATTCTATTGATACAGGCAGCCTAAAAAATAATTGTGTGCTTGAAAAAATAAATCAAATTATAATTTTCTGAAAAAAGTCTTATGAATATTTTCTCATAAATTTCTTAAATTGGTAAATTATTATTGCATGTAATTTGAAACTGGAAATTATAAAACATGCCAACATAGGAAAAATGTTAAAATTTTGATGAATTTTTAATAAATATTGAATCTTGTTTTTATTATCTGACTTTCTAAGAATAGAGTTATTGTTCTGAATTTTATAAATGCTAACACAGTTATCTTTTATCAAGAGAAAACTATAGTTTACAAATGTCAAGCCTAAGTGAGCTAATCATAAGATTCTGTAGGCAATATTGTAATGAAGATCTATTAAAGCAAACCTTCTCTCCTAAGCTCATGCTGTGAAGTTGACAGCATATTCCATAAATGAAATAATAATACAAAATTGGTGTTAGACAAAAGTAGAAAATGATTTTCATGTAATTTCCTGGAATGCAAAAGCATTTAATCTTTCTGAGGAAAGGATATGAATTTGCTAATCCTATGCACCACTGTCAGTAAATAAAAATCTATAAGCAACTTAAGGAATAAGATAATGTGACTATTTAAAAAATAAAATTCTCATATGATTCTCATTTGACATTTTGACAAAGAAATATCCAAGATTTAGGGTTTTAAATATTTTCTTATCATTGTGATTGCATCTTCTTTACTAACCATGTATTTTATAATAGATGAACAAGTACAATGCATCAAATTTTCCTCTGTGAATTTAACTTTTACATTAGAGACCATATGAACATTTGGGACATATATGTCCAGTATTAAAGAGTATGTTATGAACATTAATTAGCACTCTCAGTAGAGAATATTTCTCAGTAGAGAATATTATAAGAAAAATTAAACCTGAATATTTCTAAAATGTAAGAAATAACAACTATATAGATTTAAATTATATTAATAGTTTTGACTCATTCCACCAAATATTAACAAGTTAAATAAACTAGGTTGTTAGTTATAAATTAAAAAATATCATTCTCTGTGTGTTTGAAAAATATTTTGCCAGAGTTGGTGAGTTTTATTACAGTTTCACAATGAGTTAAAAATGAATCTATTCGTCTTTTATGTATCTTATAAACTTTGGAAAATGAAAAATCTCTCCAGATTAATTAGATTAAATGAATGAACGATTAAGTATTTTCTCCCTTTTAAACATTATAATTATTTTGCCCTTGACATTTTATGCAAAATTATAATTTCAATGGAACTGAAAACTTAAAGTGGCCCAGTAAAATGATCATTATGCTAAATATATCATTTTTAATGTTACCTCGTTAGCGACATTGGAAATGAAATTATCTTTTCTGAAAAATCCAATTGTATTTACGCTTATTTGGTATCTCTTTTTTATTATCATCATCTTTATTTTTAGCATTATATACTTCAGTACCTTCTTTGGTCACGTATTTTCTTTATCAGCTCTGGCTCGAAGTCTTTTGTCAAAAGACTTTTCAAAAATCAAATACAAGTACAGAAAATATGTATTTACATTTGTATGTGTCTAACAATCTTTAAATATATTCCATAGCAGGATGGGCGCGGTGGCTCACGCCTGTAATCCTAGCTGTCTGGGAGGCTGAGGCGGGCGGATTGCTCAAGGTCAGGAGTTCAAAACCAGCCTGAGCTAGAGCAAGATACAGTCTCTGCTATAAATAGAAAGAAATTAATTGGCCAACTAATATGTATAGAAAAATTAGCCAGGCATGGTGGCGCATGCCTGTAGTCCCAGCTACTTGGGAGGCCAAGGCAGTATGATTGCTTGAGCCCAGGAGTTTGAGGTTACTGTCAGCTAGGCTGACACCATGGCAGTCATTCTAGCCTGGGCAACAAAGTGAGACTCTGTCTCCAAAAAAAAAAAAAAAAAAATATATATATATATATATATATATGTATATATATTCCATAGCCTATGAGAATAATCTCTATATGATTAATTGGAAAGTGATAAAGTTAATTTGAGTATGTAAGTTCTAGTGTTTTGGTTGAAAAAAGTCTACAAAACTCTTAGAAAAGTCCTTGTTGCTATCAACTTAGCCCTAGTGCCAGGTGAGTTATGAAGACACTGAAAATTGTCCCTTCCCTCATGAGTGGATGGAGATGTTAAACTGTTTAATAGTCTAAAACACTTTTGGTTAGAAAAAGTCTAAAACTTTTAGGACTGAAACAGCAAGCGTAATTTATATATAAAGATGTGAAATCCTGATGGAGATTAATGAAAAATTTTGGAGTGAGCTTATTTTAATATTTTTCCCATGGTATATTTTTTATATTAATATATTTGTAGACATATCTTAAAACTAAAACATTATAAAATCTGATACTTGGCTACTCTTCTGCCTATAGTTTTATCTTAAATTTTTGTTTTATTTCACATTTTTCTACATGAAAACTAGAAGTAATAATAATGTGTGGATCATATGATCACTTTGGTCATGTGATGTGATCACTTTGATATGTTAGAAGCTATTTGGAAATCTGCATATAATTTATTATTATCAGTTTAAAAGTATGTTATTCCAGGTTCTCTGAAAAGTAGACACCGAGATGAGATTAAATGTGTATGGATTTTATCAGAGAAAATGCCTCTGAGAGAAAATGCAGAGAGCACTGGGAAAAGTTGAGAGATCTGTCAGACTGAAAGGTAGGCCTGATCCCAGTTGAGGGAGAGAGGAAAGGAAGACTGAGGGGAAGCATTCTAGACCACACTGTAGTCTAAGGAAGGTTTGGCAAGGTTTGTTGGTGTACTTGAGCCAAACTTGGCCATCAGAGGCATCCTGTGACTCTCAGAGATGGACCTGCCTTAGTGCCCTCAGCCATTGGTGTCAACTGGGATGGATTTCACAGGACAGTACTTGGTCAATTATACTCCTGTAGTTAGAGGTCTATGAGGCATAGTCTCACAGCTGTCTCAAAAGGTATAGTTAACGTTATCTTTGTTGCCATCAACATAGCCCTATTGCCAGGTGAGTTATAAAGACATTTACAATATCTCTATTTTCAATTATCCTTCCCCCATGAGTGGATGGAGATGTTAGAGTATTGAATAAGCCTAAAGGCAGCATATAAGGGGTGTCTGGCTGGAAATAGGATAGATCTACCTCCAAAATATTCCCCATATTGGAAGGGTTCTAAGGAAGCTAATTTAAAATTTAGTAGTAGTTGAGGGGCTGGAATAAGAAGTGACACACAAACTTCAGATGAGCCCTGTAGCTCATCTTCCAAATCAAGAGAAAAGTTTGTTTACAGGATCCCATGTCTTTTCCAGTCTTCATCTGTTAAGTCAGAGTTATGTTCACTTCTTAACCTGAAAAATGCTGTTCCCTTGGGTCTGAAACAAAGAAGAGATTTTAGGAGTTTAAAATAACCATTTTCATCTCCCTACCACCTTTCTTGTTTATCTTACATACATTGTTAATTAGAACGTTTCTTAATCTTAAATTGAAGAGCTGACCTGGCTTTGAGACCACCCTGTACTACCAGAAGCTCCTCAAAGAGTCATTAATAATAGTCAATGTACAGTATATGAAATGTATGGCTCAGAAATGTACAATTTCAGTATGTATACTTGTTTAGAATGATTATAAACAGAATAATATTTTGTGTGCTGACTATAAATCATTTTGAGAATTCAATTGAATTCAAGGGTTGCATGCGTACATCATACAAACATGACCAAACTACGCTATATGTTATGCAAAAACTTACATATATGTTTATATACATGTACACATTTGCATTCTTTCAGCAGTTTGGTTTGTTTCCTCACCATAATATTCAATATTTTTTGCTACCTTCTGCTCATTTGTCACTCTCCCAAATTCTGTACAAGTGTCACTTCCGTGATGCATTTCCACGGAGAATGAAGAGTAGAATGTGTAGGCTTTCTGCTGCACAATGAGATGGTGCATTTTTTTCAACATATGCATACGTAAGCCTTCTTTTGTGAATGGGACTGATAGGGTCAGATAATGTTTAAAGGGAAAGGCATTATGTCTCTCAGGCCTCTATGTTTCCACATGGATGCTCCCACACACACATAGATTGAATTATGAACAGACCCATTAATGCTGGGATCACAAAAGGTCAAGTTTTGTCTTCTTTTACCCCTATTCATGTTGCCTTTGTAGAGAAAAAAAAGGATTTGCAGGGAAAAAAAAGATTCATGATGAAGAATTTTAAAGAACATTTCCCCCTTTTAGCAACATCTGTGATTTGGGGAAAAAATCATATTATGTAAAATAACTCAGAAGTGTTGTATTACCTACCTGATTTCAGTATATGAGTTATTTCATGTGTAGGGTTGTCTTAAAGGATGACATGTTATCATAATAACTGAGAACAAATGTAGCACTTTGAGGATAAAAGACCTTATGAATATGTAAAATAACAAAGTTTGAGCAAAACTGAATAGAAACATTTTCAAAATGTCAGTGGAAGGATTCTTGATATATTTTCTCCTATGTTTAAGATATAAGTTAATCTTTGCTAGACATCTTATTTGATAGTTTTAAGTTATTCTTAAAAGGCCATAATTGGTGTAATTCTGTTTTACATACATTAACAGATAATCCTGGGAGCAATGAAAATAGCTAATATGATAGAGAAAATTTTTGAAGCAACTAAGAATTTATCCCAGATGAAACTTTTAAGAATTTAACCAATAGCCCTTTAGAGTGCAAATGACATCATCAATTGTATGGTTGGTTGATTTCTGATGTCACATGGAATCTTTTATCAGTGAAAGGCTATGGATTGTGACAGTAAAACCAGTCATGTACAAAAATGCTCTCAAATCAAAGTCTGAAATTCCTCCCCCCTTTTTTTTTGGTGGCTTGCTATAGCATAAGGTGCAGTACGCAAAATTAATGAGAACAGTATTATTTACTAGCAAAATACATTGCTGATACTTACTAGACTTTAAAGAATCCTGAATCACATGAGGCTAGGGATAGGTTCAGAGAGGACCAGTGCTTTCCAAAAATGGATTCCTTCCATTTGGGGACTTTGATTCTTCGATTTTAATTTTATCAGATAACCATAAGAGCAAGCCAACTGGCCTGTTTTGGTCTTTAACTTCAGTATGTTATATACTATCAGCCGTAATTTGGAGGAATATACTGCTGGAGGATAGTATGATATGATGGTTAAAATGAGGCTGAAAACATTGACTAAGACTGGATCATCTGTCATTTTCATATTTTAAATGTTACAACTTTCTTATAGGATTAACAGAACTATGAAAAGCATAGAAATTCATTCCAGAAAGTAAGAAAAGAAGGATCATAGGAGAAATTTGTCACTAGATTTTATAGCTTATAGATAATATTCTCTTTCTTTTCACATTTTTGTTCCTCCTCTTTCTTCCCTGCTTATTTTCCCCTAATCATCTCCTTTTAATTTCTTCCTTCATCTTTTCTTTTCATTCTTTTGTTTTATTTCATTTTTTCTCTTTCTGTCTCTCTTAGGAATCCTCCTGACCTCCCTGTATTGTCTCTGCTTCCTATGCCCATGATTTCTGAAGGTTTATCCAAGTTCCATTGGTGGACTATTAGAGGCTTCCTTATGAATAGATAATAGAAATTTCCATACACTTTCATTTCAATATACGGTTAAGGGCTGCCTCTTAGTAACCTACAGATGAATTATATAGGGTTGTAAAGATTTAATAGAAAGCAGTATAGTAATCAGATTTTACTAGGTTCTTCTGCATAACTCAATAAGCCCAAAATCTCTTAAAACAAAATTACTTCTTATTCACCTTACATATTAGTTACAGGTTGTCTGTGACTCTGTCCAGTACATCTTTCTCAGTCTGGGACACAGGTTGAAGCAGCACCCTCTATTGGGACATTGTTGTTTTCATGAGAAGGAGAGGAGAGTGATGGCAGAACTATGTAATGGCTCTCAAAGCTTCTGCTAAGAAGTGGCATATGTTAGCTCTGCTCACATTTCATCGGCCAAAGCAAATCACACAGGAATTCTGATATCATATGCATGCCTGCCAGAGAGGCTCATCTGCTACTTCTCTCTCTCCTTGATTTCTGCTCTGCTATTGCCCACTTTTCCTTCCTCCCCTGAACATACCTGTCTAGCCTCATAGAGGCCATTTCCAGGACTCAAGGGATTGTTATATAAAGCAGGGAGGACATTTGGGAAAAGCTTGTAATTTCATTGGAGGAACATGGCATTGATGTATAAACCAAGTATAAAACAGTACACAGCTTACTTTGATACAAAGTGCCAAATGGCTAGACCCAGGTAGTAAGTGCTGGAAGGCCTGGTAGAGGAAGTGAGACTTAAGTGATGGGTAGATTTAGATCAAAGAGAAGAATGAATTGTGAAACTGTGGCCTAATCATCAGGGGACCCAGACTCTAGTTTTTGTGCCAATACTAACCATCTGTGTGTCATGGGCAAATCAACTTTTCTGGACCTGAATTTCCTTGTTTGTGAGATCAGAGTGTTAGGTTAAATATTGTCTAATTTATTATGATACTCTAAAAATGGAAGGGATGTGTGTATGTATGTGTGATGAGGGGAAGGGGACAGTGAGAAGAGACATCTTGTTAGAGAGGAGGAGTCTGGTGGGAATCTGAACCATAAGGGCAGGTGTGGGGATCAGATTATAAAAGGTCTTAAATCTTGAATACCAACCTCAAGAATCTGGGAGAGCAACTAGATGGTTTAATATGCTGTTTAAGGTAAATTATGTGGGTGGAGGTGGCAGGATGCATTAGAGGGGAAGAGCTTGGGAATGGCAAGAACACTCAGTGGGTATATTTTGTTAATCTAAGTTGGGGGAAGGGATGATGATATGATCACTTGGATCAAAGTATTATAAAAAATGAAAAGTAAGATAGGAAATATACGTATTTAGAAGAGTGGTGGGAAAACTATAGCTCTGGGGACAAATCTAGCCCACTGTTTATTTTTGTAAATAAAGTTTTATTTGAACACAGCCAGGCCCATTCACTTACATATTGTCTGTGGCTGCCTTCCAAATTCAACTCTAGAGTTAAATAGTTTTGACTAATTATGGCTAACAAAACCAAAAATATTTACTATATGGCCCTTTATTGAAAAAGTTTGCCAACCCTTAATTTAGAACAAAGGATTATTTAGAGGGGATAGAAAATTGATCACATAGGGGCAAATGAAAGATATATGCAAGACCAAAGAAAAATAGAAATCATTTTAAATTAGCTTGTTTATATACTTATAATGCTTATCAAGTTCTTGGTAAAAATGAAACATAATTGAAAAATACATATGTGCATACACATATACACATACCTGTATGTACATACATAGATACATATGTACACTACACATACGCACATACACACACAAACTTGAACTAAACTAGATAGAGTAGAAAAATAAATATTCAAGTCATATGGATAATAATACTTGTTTTCATTGGTTTCCCTGAACCCTCTATACCAGAAGGGATAGAAATAATAGATTTAACATCAGAGTTTGAGTTGGAATATAGACTGGGGCAAACACCATTTTCAGCTGAGAGAGAGAAAGAGGATGAAGTGTCAGTACATAGAAAACTCTTGGAGAAGGATTCCCTATTTTACCTGTGGACATTGAAGTGAGCTGGAGGATCTATACTGCAAATAGTTTAGAATTTCTATGTGTCGCATGTAAAATAGGCGTAGGAGTAGGAAAGATAGAACAAGAAAAAACAATTGAAACTTGATATGCAAAAAGCACCTAGATATTAAAAAGAAAACATTATAATAATATACCAGTGCTTTGGGTACCTACTATAGTTTAGACTTTATACTGTCCATTCTTTAATCTCATTTAATCTATTATTTATGGATGAGAGTTTTATTACCTATGCAAACTCCCAGTGAATAAGCAAGAGAGCCAGGATTTTAACCCAAGATTCCAAAGTACATGCTGTCTTCAGAGTCATTTGTAATTCTAAATGAGTCTAATTTGATTACTTTAAAGAAGCACAGATAAAGTGGATTTCTGCTCTTCATCTCTTTTGGTCACTACCATGTGTCAGCCAATGTTTATGTAAGAATCCAGTCTAGTACAGAGAATATAAATTTATGTAAAACAGTGAAGTGTCAAAGAATGGTAATGATTTTTAATTTGTAAACTATATGGATTAAAACATTTACTGTTTCTGAGTCCTCAGCATGTCTATTAATAATCTATAAGTAAAGTTCATATGTCTATCTTAAATATACTGAGTAGAAGTCTGGAAATTTTAAAATCAAGGGTGCATAACCCTTTGCTGTTTCTGGAAAAATCCTATGCTTTATTTTGACATTGATATATATTTAAAATATTGTCTAGAACAGAGCATTGTCTTTGGAGTATGGATATTTTGGAAAATAGTATTAATGAGATTTAGAAAAATTATATTTTAGAATATTTGGGAGGACCGTAATAGGTTTATTTTCAAGGCCAAAAATGTGATAATTAATTTAATTAATATGAAATATTTGAAAAAATTTTAAGTGTCACACATAGATAGTAAAATAAAATATTCTAAAAAGGAAGGTACATACAGTAAAATGAAATATGGTGGTAAGTAACAGATATTGGGTTATTTAAAGTCCTAGGAAGGTTTTATTTTGTTAAGCAGCTTAAAGCTCATTTGCAAACTTGCCAGATGTTTATATTTCTTTTTATTCCCAGAGATATTTTTCATTCAGCAATTGTAAATGGCTACCTATTACATATTATAAAAGTGAAAAGGTTAGACATTTTTCCATAAATAAAATTTATAGGTGAAGGAATGTATATCTCTTCTATTCTCTTTACTTGAGGATAGATCTGTACTCACATTCTTGTATTGAAGTCATTTTTCCCCCATCAAGCTAGGTACTCAAAAATCTAATAGGTGTGACATCAACAATTACTTCTTGCTAACAACTCTTGTAATTTAACCCCTTCAGGTGAGCAGGCTGATTGATGAATTGCAGACAGCTATCAAAAGCAACAAAGGTCATCTCTCTAAACTTGGCCCCCAATTACAGGCTGAGCAGGAGCAATTCTCCTCTTATGTCTACCAACACATTAAAAGCCTTCCAGCAAACACTCTTATCCCAGGAGACCTGCAGCTCAAGGTGGGTGTCATTCTGTTACTCTCATTGGATTCAGACAGAGTCGAAAATGCTCTGCTCCATTTGAAGACCCTTATGACAGTGCCATTCAGCCTGAATTTCTTTTTATATTATCTTCCTCAAAGTAGAGTTTGGCTTACAAGTGGTAATATTACTATTTGGGAAATAGATTTTGAAAGAAAATTCCTAGAGACCTTTGAAATGTGGATTTTTACACTTTACCTAGTTTTCAACCCAGAAAAGTAATTTTAATGAAGAAATGTAATTATGTAAACAGTTTGCATATTTTGCAAGAAACATATATTTTTCACTGTATATTTCAGTTTTTAAAAATAAAATTTAAAGAAATGGGCAAACTTTAATAGTTGACAGACAGTGGCAATAGAAATTGGAGGTGAAAGGCCAGGTGACTGATTGATGTTCAAACTACATTTCTAAGGAAAAGGATCTGTATTGGATAAGTGTGACACATGTCTGAGTTCACTTGGTAAAATCAATACTTAAGAATACACTGGGAAAAAAGGTGAATTGGTTATTTGTCAGGACAAGATGGCTAAATGTCCTAGACTACTCTGCTATTGCATCTTTGGAAAAGAAAAAGAATAACTCATACTTGGCTAAAGTGATTTTAGTACCAAAAGCTTAAGGAACTTAAACATTTTGTTTTTTATAACGGAATATACTTGTTAAGTCTTTGAAGTTAATTTTGTTCTATAATTTCATATCCTACATTTCAAGGGACTATAATTAGCAAAATTTAAATGACTCAGTGAAAATATGGCCTTTTTCCATATAAGGAACTAATGTTAATACAACTCCTAATTTCCTTTTGATTATTTTTATAGGGATGTGATAACATTCAAAGTTAATTGTATTTTGATCAGCCTTCATCCCTACAATTCCTCTTTCTTAATATTCAGTTTCATTCTCTAAATAACAATATAAACATTATATTTTATATATATAACTTATTTCTTTAAATGATATTCCCAAACATATATTTTGAATGAGAATATTACCATGTAAAAATTGACTTTTGGGGAAATGTAATTCCATGTTAAACATGATAATTTATTTCTCATGATCTCTGCTAGTCAACTAAGGGTTTAGGAAGTGATGTTCAAGACATTTAACATCAAGAGTTCTCATAATCATACCTCACTGTACAATGTATACTATCTGGGTGATGGGCATACTTAACTTTGTCTCGAGCAGTACAAAAGCAATCCATGTAGACAAAACATTTGTACCTCAGTAATATTCTGAAGGTTTTTAAAAAAATGAGGAAAAGGGGTTCCCAGAGTTCAGTAGCATTGTTCTTTTCCGGGTTTTTTTTTATTTGATTATAGATTAATTCTGCAATGTTGCAAAGTGCACTTGCTATTGATTAAGAGAAAAACCAGGTGAAGAAGTGCAGTTGCCTTAATGCCATGCATCCCCACTCATTTATATCAGCAACTATCCTATGAACTATAGTGTGACCTGGGAGGGAAAAATGTTGTTGTGGTGGTTGTTTTTTCTCACAATTTCACTGCTTATTTCTGAAGAATTTCTATCACTTATTCACATTAGCATATGGGCTTGATAGTTAAAACTTAACTTTAGTATCTGACTTATTACTCTCATATATCTCCCTTTTAATATGCTTCAAAGTTGTTTCCACACCTGCAAACAAAAGAAGAAATCTATATATGCAAAGTAGCTGTGTCATTGTATTTGCTTATACTCATTGTGCTGTCCAGTATAGTACAGTAGCCACTAGCCACATGTGGCTACTTAAATTTAAGTTAAAATTAATTAAACTAAAAAATCCAATGTCTTCAGTGGTTTTCCAGGGACCTTCTTGGTTTTAGCACTGAAAATCCCATACCCAGCAAACTAGGATGGTTGGTCATCCTAGTCCTGTCCCCAGAATTCCTTTCCCCTTGTTTCAAGCATCTCCTTCTTTATTCTTTTCCAATGTTAACTTTCTCAAATTTATAAGTATGCCCATCACCCAGATAGTATACATTGTACCAGTTAGGTATGATTATGGGAACCCTTAATGTTAATGTCTTGAACATCACTTCCTAAACCCTTAGTTGACTAGTACAGACCATGAGAAATAAATTATCATGTTTAACATGGAATTACATTTCCCAAAAAGTCAATTTTTACATGATAATGTTCTCATCAAACTCAGTTCCATTTGTTTCTACCTCCTCTCTCCTCGGTTATCTCCTTTGGAATATTCATTTTCTCTCAGAGAATAAATCCCTCTTCTACATCCCAAGATACCTGGACATCAGCCCTGTCCTCAAGCCTTAGGACAATGATTTTTCAATCCTGGATGCATATTAGAATCCTCTGGAGACATAAAAAAAAACAACAACAATGTCCCCGTCTCCAGAGATTTTTATTTAATTGGTCTGGTGTGCTAAGACTAGCTTCTACCAGCTCGTGAGCACTGATTATTAAATTTTCAGGAATTTTTTGAGCCATTATATAGTCATTATCAAAAATGTATGTAAACTTAAAATTAAATAGGTCATATTAAAAACAAAGTAATAAATGACCTTCACTTCCCAATTGTTTTATTACATTTTACTATTCCCTATTCTCTTGAAATTATCTATGATTATTGTGCTTGTTGAGTACAAATGCTATATAAAGGTGTGCTACTGTGCATTTCTTCCTAAATTTATTTTCAGTGATGGCTTGTTGTAACTCAAAATTGGCCATATAGTATTCATACAACAAAAATTGGCAAATGCTATAAATGAGAACTTGATTTAATGTTTTATTGATTGTGTAGACCAGAGGGTTGGCCAACCACAGGCCATGGGCCAAATCTGCCTGTTATTTGTAAATAAAGTTTTACTGGAACATAAAGATACCTATTTGTGTATTCTCTATGGCTACTTTCACATTATAATGGCAGAGCTGAGTAGAGACCGTATGACTTGAAAAGCCTAAAATGTTTACTAAATGTCCTTTACAGAAAAGTTTTCTGACTCCTAGTTTGCTGGTCTAGACTTAAGTACATGACAGAAAAAGTATTCCTAATGCAGAGTAAATTTAAAATGGCCATATTTCTACATATGCTATATTGTGAATAACACAAAAAATTGAATATTCTTCCAGTGCATGGAAACTATTATTTGATTCAGCAAAGAAATTGCTCATGTCATTGATTAACAAGAACAGTCCCACATGCATCTTCTTTATTTCACTTTTGTCTTATTAACATGGATAAAAATATCAATCAACATTCAGGTCAGAACTGCATTCATTTCTCAATTGCAGCCATATATTGGAGGTGGATACAAGACTTGGCAAAAATCAATGAACATATTCTGTGAGAATCAATTGGCTATGTGGAATTTACAATAAAAAAATATTATATATTTTGTTATTATTTGCTATATAATCTATATTACATGCTACATAATCTCTCTTATTTTTTTGTAATACTAGTAACCAGAGTAGCTATATAGTCTTTATATCAGGAGAATTTATAATAACTACTTCTATCCCCAAGCAAGTTGTTACACATTTAACAGCACATATTCAGGTGTGGTATAGGTATCCATACTTCTTAAAAATTTCCCAAAAGATGTTATTCTACAGGCAGGATTGAGAATCTAGCAAAATTATCAAAGCAGTTTTTTTAAAAATCAAAGCAGCTTTTTAAACATAATCCAAAACACTCAACAAAGAAATTTTCAATCCAGGTTGCTAATCAGCTAAAACTTTTCTCTACATTGGAAACTTTTCTCTACATGGAAAGATTTGCAGTAAAATCATTTGTACCAAAATTATGGAAAGTAAGAATTTTCTCCTTCAAGCAATAACTGCAAAATGATCAATTTTGTATTTTTTATTTTGAATTTTGATTTTTTTGCTTTTCTAGATATATTTTCAGAGAGAAATATAGAGAGCAAAGAAATATAAAGACTTCTGTGGCTGGAATGACCAGACTTGAAGAGGTGTAACAAATAAAGTCAGCCAGGTCTACTGTGTTTAAATCTACACCTAGTTTTAATTCTTTCTGTTAATTAGATATCTACCTATATTACACTGTGCGGGCTGAAATATGGGAGCTAATTTTAAATGATTGCTAACTTCAGACACTTGAGACAATATCATCTGAAGATAAAGTAGGCATGAAATATATCCAAGTTGAGGGCAATGCAAAGGAATGCATTTGTGAGGTACAGGAATACCTATGTCTGTATCTGAATTTCAATTTTTTTAAATTAAAAAGATTTTACTCCTTATAATAATTCTATTGCTTATTAGAAAATTACATAATAATTGGTAATATGTTTTGTTTTTAAAAAGAAAGCTTTCTGCCTTATGACTAGTTTTTTATATCAGAAAATTATTAAATAAAAGAAGCCTTAATCACTGGTTTGCACTCCTTGCTGTTCAACATCACCCTCCTGTGGTGACTATCCGAAATTACAGTAATAAATCTCAGGCATATAAAGAGGTCCTTGGCATTTTCAGAGGTCTAATCCAAAGTTTCCTGCAAACAGCACTGCTTTTGTGTCAGAGCACCACCTTTTGCTTCCTCTGTCAGAGCTGTGCTAGGCACAGGGTAAGGGAAATTTTCAATTTACCTCTCCCCTCTCATTGCTTCCTTTTTCCCATCAGTTCTAATGATATTAATCCCATGTTTACATACAAATTCTCTTATTACCTGCAGCATAAATTTTCTCAAGCTATATGAGATAAAAAGAAGATTTGCTAAAAACATATAAGGGACTCTTACAGAAATGAACACCAGGAAATATGGCAGTGTCACATGAAAGTCACTTCAGAGAGACTTTCTTCAGAGAGAACATCTTTCTTAAGACCCCATGATCTCACAACTCTGCATCTCTCTGTGAGATCCCTTCATTTCTTCTTTCTTCCTTCAAACTAGCTTTCTCTTTTTACTTCTTTATATGTACATGTAGGAAAATTATGGCCCCTAGCCCTGACCTTTAGGTTTAAATAGCCATCATTCTTCAATTAGA